GTACTACAAAGTGGGGGCTTCATGACAATGATCATAACCCAGGAAAATGAGATCAAAATTCAGTGGAGCAAGATTTTTAACCCTACACCAAATGATATGACATCCACCCAATTTTTATACTCTCCACAGTCTACAAATAACTGAAAACTCTATTTCTTCATTCTTTTCTGGTTCTGGTTTGTTGCCTATATAACCTAATGATCTCTAGTTCCATCCATTTTGCTAAAAACGTTAGAATTTCACTGACTTAGAAAAAAAAAAAGATTCATTTATCTTTATTTGAAAGTCTAACTTACAGAAAAGGAAAGACACAGCAATCACCTCCCAAATGGTCCCATGGCCAGACATGATCTAATCCGAAGCCAGGAGCCGGGAGCTTCCTCCGGGTCTCCCACACAGGTGCAGGGTGCAGGGCCTTGGGCTGTCCTCGGCTGCTTTCCCAGGCCACAAGCAGGGAGCTGGATAGGAAGTGGAGCAGCCGGGATTTGAACCAGCACATATGTGTAATACTGGTGCCGCAGAGTGGAGCTGGCTGTGCTACTGTGCAGGCCCCGGATTTCATTAACTTTGAAGGCTTAGTAATAGTTCACCCTGTACATACACATTTTCTTAACCAAATGACCAGTTGATGGACAACCAGGTTGATTCCATATCTTAGCTACTATGACCTGAACTGCTATAATCATGAGGCCAAAGCTAAATCTTTGATTCCTTTCGGTAAATTCCCAGGAGTGGGATAGGTAGATCTCAGCGGGGAATTATTTTCAGATTTCTGAGGAATCTGTAAACTATCTTCCCATCAACAGTGAATTTGAATACTTTTAAAAAATTTTTTTGGATGATAGTCATTCTATGTTGGGTGAAGTAAAACCTCATTATGGGTTTTTATTTTCATTTCTCTAGTAAGTAATGATCCTCCATATTTTCTCATGTGTCTGTTGGCCATTTATATTTCTTCCAATTATGGATTTCCCAGCCATTCACTTATCTAACATCTTCCTCCGTTCTATTTTTGGCTGACATTTGATTTTCCTTTTCAGTGTTTCCTTCTCTGGCTGAAACTACAAAACAATATCAAGATAGAAACAGAAAGAACTCATAATCATATCTTCCAAAGGTTTTGATAAATTACCCCTAAGAATAATTCAATTCTACACTTGGGTCATGCTTTGCAATCTGAGTATAACATGAAAAATTCCCAGTGTTGGCAAATACCTTCTTAATCCTTTTATTGGTTACATAATTTGAACATAAACATCAAGTTAAATACATACTAAAGTACATTCCCCATCCTTCTAGAATCTTCTAGTTTCAGTTTTTCTGATCTGTTGAATTGATGAGACTTTGTTTTTTTGAAAGGCAGTATTATACAACAAGGAAGAGAGACTGACAGAGAGGCCTTCCACCCGCTGGTTCGCTTTCCAAATGGGCACAACTTTTGGAGCTGAGCTGACTTGAAGCCAAGAGAAAGGAGCTTCCTCTGGGTCTCCCACATGGGTGCAGGTGCCTAAGGGTTTGGGCCATTCTCCATTGCCTTCCCAAGCCATAAAACAGACAGTGGATCAGCACAGGCACTGACACTTGCGTAAGACGCCAGCAGCACAGGCGGAGGATTACCGTGCTACACCACAGTACCCTGAAGTGTTAAGTCTTACCTACCTACTCAACACAAAGTCCAGTGATACGTTTTAGTCAATGACAGGTGACACACACAACAATGGTCCCAAAATCTCACAATGGAGATGAAAAAATTGCTATCAACTAGTGAATTAGCTTTTGTCATATGGTGGCGAATCTGGTGCAAACAAACCTACGACAGGACTAGCTGAACAAAAATATAGTGCAATTATGTACAACATATTTGATAACGATAGCAAACAGCCATGTTGCTGGTTTATCTGTTTACTATTGACCCTCTTCTTACAGAAACAGTTCACGGGAAAGCAGTACGAGTTGCTCAGCACACTGCGTGTGGCCTGACCCACACCATGTTTCCTGTGACGCTGCATCAGCTTCCCTCGTGTCTGACTTCACCTCTCACTTTATTCACCACGGCACTAAGAGTAGCAGTGCTCTAGTCCAGGTGTGTAAGAGACTATGCCATCAGCTGGGTGTAACTGCCCTGATGTACTGTTCGATGACAAAGTTCCCTAATGACACATTTCTTAGAGTTAAGCAATGCGTAGGGTGTACGCTAATGCCTTTGTGATTTGCGGTTAGGCATGAAGCTCATTTGCTTCTACGGGATCAATTCTGTTGAAAAGGCTATAACATAACGCTGGTATCACTGGTAAGTATTCCATACAACATAAATAATATAGTGACTCACAAATGAATGCATGTTTCTGTCCAGCTTTTGGGGAAAAGCCCTGGATTTTAACAATTTGGAATTTGATGAACTCAGTTGCTTTTATCACTTCTACTGGTGATTTAGTTTGATCAACTTTTCACATAACTGCTGAAACATCTCTGCCTAGTGGCTAAAGTCCTCACCTTGCATGTGCCGTGATCCCATGTGGGCGCTAGTTCGTGTCCAAGGCACTCCACTTTCCATCCAACATCCTACCTGTGGCCTGGGAAAGCAGTTGAGGATGGCCCAAGGTCTTGGGACCCTGCACCAGCATTGGAGACTTGGAAGAAGCTCCTGGCTCCTGGCTTTGGATCAGTGCAGCTCTGGCTGTTGCAACCACTTGGGGAGTGAATCATTGAATGGAAGATCTTCCTCTTTGTCTCTCCTCCTCCTCTCTGTAAATCTGACTATTGAATAAAACTAAATCATCTTTTTAAAAAAATGCTAATAGTTTTTTCCTCTACTGGTTAAGCAATCTGCTTTGATTAGCTAAGCTGAATTTCCACATTAACTTTGTTTATCTAGTGATAACAAGTATAAGAAAACTCTGTTTCCCCTGCTTTTATCTGATGTCAATTTAGTCTTTATCTAAAATTTTAATTCCTGTACTGTAGGAAATAACAGCACTCATGTAATATTTACTAAGAGATATTTCAGATGCCTTGCCTCTATATGGAAGTGTTTTAAGATAAATGCTAACTAAACTCGTAGGTAATTCTTGTCGCCCATTAGATGGACAGCCTCTGCCAGACCGGCCGGGAAAGCAGGCACTTGCTTCTCTCCGCCAGACTGTGAAGCCCAATGACTTCTTTGAAAGGGAATTTGGCAATATCTTCCATAACCTGTGTGTGTTTACCCTTTGATCTAGCTTTCTTCTTCTAGGAAAGATGCAGTGGTTAAAACACAGAACGGCAAGAAAGCGGCACTCCTTTGTAGCAGTGAGACTGAACATAGCCCTGATGCCCCTAGATGGAGACTGACGGATAAACCGTGACGCAGCTCCTCGATGGAGAAAAGCAATAAGGCTTCTCTCCATAAACTGCCATGGCGCAGGCTCTAATACACACAGTTCAGTAAATTAGGAGAGGTTGAGAAAAGTCAGTAGGCAGAATATGCCTTCATTTGTCTAAGAGATACAAACATACATTTGCATATGCTTACTTTGAAAAACAAAGATAAACTACAGTGCTGTCTACACACACACAAGGAGGGCGAGGGGGAGGGGGTTAGAATCCAGGCATCTATGAAGAATCATCGAAGCCTTGTGGAGGAGCCATAGATAAACACTGTGCACATTTAAGGTATACCAGCTGATGAATCTGGAGTGCCTGTAGGCTAGCCTGAAAATACCTGGCTTTACGGAATTGATTTTGGATTTTTTTTCTAGCTATCTTGTGAAGCAGCCTGAGATCTTTCACATCAAAAGAGTCCAGGGCCCTCTGGGGGAAATGACTCATTTCAGGCCTGGAGCATGGATTAAGAAAACATAATCCTTTAAGATCTTAACATACTACATAGCATGGAAATGATCAAAATCATTAAGCTAAAGATGAGAAAATATGAGCATCAATAAACAAAATCACTTGAGCTTAATCGCTGTGTACACTGATAGGTACACATTTCCCTTTATAAAAAATATTCTGGCTAATAAGTGAATAATGAATGATAAATTAGAGTAACACTATTTTACAATCCTGAATGAATTAATGAAGCTGGCATTAAAGCACCTGGATAACGATGCAGTCTTTTTAATGAATAATGTGCAAGGAAAGGGTATAAAAATGAATGAGAAAACTTTCAATATACAGACAAATAACATGTACATATGTAATACTGCCGTGGAAGACGGAGGTGAGAAATTCATCTGGCAGAACAGCACTTACACTATGCGACCACTTACGTAAAAATAAGAAAAGCATACCGTTAAGTTTTCTTGTATAATGCAACTACATCTAACAAATACACAAGAAAGAAAATTTTTAGACTGTTGACGTCAGCTGATCAGAAAATAATATAGAACAGCAATTTATTCCACAGAACTCTTGTACCTTTGGAATTACAAAATATGAACTTCATACTTGCGCATAGAAGTTAAATAAACCAAATCACAAAGAAACAGTAGGCGTGACCATAACATTATGATAATGAGAAAATGTCTTTTATGTTTATAAGGAAAGCACTGTTTCTATATAGTTGGAAATATTTAAGGTCAAAGAAGAGTAACCAAATATGGAAAAATTTAAAGCAATTATTGAGGGTGAGAAAATTTACTACACAATTTCAGATACTTCTCGTGACAAAAAGTAAAACAGAAAACCTCATGAGGGTAATTAAACTGATACTACACCTACCCTTCCGTTATCACAGCAGGTGAGCCGCGAACCCAGCAGGAAGAAAGCGGAAGTGGGAGACAGTGGGATGAAACCGCGTCAGCAGCTGTCTGTCCTGACACTTCCTCACAAACCTGCCGTCAGTTCTTCTAATCAACAACCTGAAATTTACCCGAAACTTCATTTTAAGGAACAGAGACGGAAGCAAAGCTACTTGAATGGAAGGGAAGCTGTAACCCTAAATTCCTTCCTTTCAACTCTTTTTTTTTTTTTAAGTAAACAACATCTTGAAATTGCCAAGAGCAGGAAAGCGCACTCACTTTTTGCTGGCCTCACACACGTCCGTGATGTTGGAGAAAAGATGGTGCCTTTCGGTTTGGGTCATGGTGTCACTCAGTTCTTTAGAGTTCTTAAACATCCGGATCAAGATCTCCAAGCTGAGCAAATACGAGTGCTCAGAGGATATGACTTCAAATATAGCCTGGAAGAAAGGGAGAGACATGATGAGGACATTTTCAAAGTGAAGCAAAAACTTGCTTCAGTAGCGACGTAATGTCTTGGAAAGTACAGAAACACAAGCATTACGAAAGCTGTATCATCCAACTTGCTCTACTTGTAACAGACACACGTAACCAAAAGGGAGGGCGCAGTCACTGTCCACGGCACAAACACGGAAAGGTGAAAGGAGCGGGTGACTCAGAATTGCGACCCGAGGTCACTCGGTGGCCCAGGGGTGGAATCCATGGAAGGAAACCGGGCATGACATGAATTAACCTCTGAGGTCATCTCCTCCTTCGCTGTGCCTTCAAAGCTAGCTGCTTCCGGGGCAGCAACGATTTATGCTTATCAGGACACAGAGAGAACGTCTCATGACTAACTCCCTCCTTCCTCTCCCTTCTCATGCACGCTCCTCCTTTGCCTGCGTTCCAATCGAACTAATTTGTGGTCGGTGACAGCACATTTTCTGGCACCGTATGTACTTACCTCCGAGAGGTCCTTAACAGGTGCAGGAAATGTTTTATAGAAACTCACACACTGAGTTCACTCGGCCACCCCCTCTCCCCTCCTCGGAGTGGAGGAACAAGCGGCCCTCTGCAGAAAGCTCTCACTGTCAGGCGCACAGCAGCGTTCCTGATGAATGGTGAGGACGAAATGCCAACCCACATATGGAGAAAGGCACAAACAGCCGGTGGAAGGAATCCATCTGGCGTCTTAAGACCAAATCCAGGAATGGCCACGCAGGGAACGGGCCTCCTCGGGAGCAGGTGGCCAGCAGCCTTGCCGGCCTGACAGCTCACCAATAACACTGCTTTCAGCTCTAGGTCTTCAGGGTTCCTGCCCTTCAACCGCTGGCCCAAGCAGCACGGGGATCCCGGGCCGGGGGGAAGCAGGGACTGCGGGACCCCCAGCCTTGGGGGTTGGCCTTGTGCTGTATGTCACGTTAGC